TTTGAAGTATACAAATTTTCGGAGCCCCCCCTCCTAGCGCAACAATTTTTTCAGAGCCCCCCCTTCGGGTGTCTAAAAATTTTCGGAGCCCCCCCTCAATATCTTCATCCCCCCCCCTTGTCATATTAAATGAACTTTCCCTTAGAACCCTGAATATTGGTCCTGAGTATTGGTCCAGCCCCTGGAAGTGAGCCCACAACCTGGCCGCTCTGCAGTCAAGGACTTTAGTCCAACTGACTTAATTCTGCTGCAGTCATAAGTTGATTATATTTGAAATATTTTTTCTGCAGAGTGGTAGTGCCCTTGATGCAGTAGAGGCAGCTGTGAGGTACATGGAGGATAGCCCAATTTTTAATGCTGGACATGGCTCTGCTCTTACAGAGGAGAACACTGCTGAGCTTGATGGTTTCATTATGGATGGACACAATTTAGCTACTGGTAAGATAACATGTGGCTATTGTTAAATAATGTACATTTTACCACCGATTTCCGATACCTCACCAATACTTGACCAATGATTCGCCAATTCATTGCCGACACACTACCAATGCTATCTCGACCGACTGTTGGTCATTACGCTATCGACAGGAAAAAACCACTCGACCGAGATATCGGTTGATACTTGGCCAATACTCAACCAACTTTTGACCGACATCTTGGTCGAGAGCCGAGTGAGTATCAGCTGACACACCGGCCGAAATATCGATGAACAGTTGACCAAGATGTCAGCCGATACATCGATTGACAGTCCCTCAAAAGATACGTGATCCTACATGTATTGCTCTATAGTCAAACCTAGATGATACGGACATTAAGAGGGCCATATTAAGCAGGTTGAATTTACGAAAAAATTAAGGGCTGTCTTTCACCAGGAACAAAGCAAATAGTCCATAATAAAGAGGTGTCCATATTAAGTGGGTGTCCATAAAGCAGGTTTGACTGTACTCATTACCTTGATATTAAGCTAATCTGACAGTGTGTAGATCTTTACTTCTTGCTTTGTGCAATTAATTTATTGCAGATTATTGAACCCTTTCCTCCCTCCCTAGCTTGGGAAGTATTGGCAGTCAAGTGAATCTTTCCATTTACCTTCTAGTTATTAAGTTTGACAGTGTCTGTTTGTTGCTGCTTGCAGGGGTAGTTCCCAGTTCCAGAGATTGCCTGTAGGGAAGCTTCTTTGCTTTTTGTTGCTTTGTATCACTTACGTCTTCCTGTGCCTTGTTCGTATTGCTTGCTTGTCTGTTATCTGCAATTTAGAATTTACATGTACAGCCAAATGTAAATCCCATTTAATAGGATATTATCAGTTGAAGAGCAAACCTCAATCTTCTTACAATCCTAAACAATGAGTCAGAGCACTTTGCTATCCCCATACAGTAGCAAGGTATGTGATGTCTAGAATGTCCCAAAAGGAGGGATGTTAGAGCTGCCATCAAGTCTAACAGTTCTTGATTGTGGCTCTTAGCAGAGGTGGTTCCCATTTCCAGAGATGGCCAGGGAGGAGATGCAGGCTCTTTGCTTTTAAATTGCTTTGTCTCACTTGCATGCATCATTTTGTGCTTTGTCTGTATTGCTTGCTTGCAGTTTGGCATTTAATTAAATCTCCATTTGACAGGATATCAGTCTGATGAGAGCAAAAGTCAGACTACTTTCAAAATATAGTATGTAAACCATGAGACTCTGCTATTCCCAGGGCAAGGCAATGTCTGGAATACATTTAGGAAAATTAGAACTCTCCCAAAAGAAAAGATGTTGCCAGGAGTTCTGGGGAGTGAGCCCCAAATTTATTAATTTATTATTAAAATTGTTTCTGAATTTATTATTACTTTCTCTTTCAAAACAGTGGTAACATCATTAATTTTCTCTCCCATTGGGCAGCTTCCAATAAGACATACTAGCCTTGAAGGATGTGTATAGTAGGAAATGGTATCAAACAGTGCTGAACAGGTTATACCCTGCCCCAACCTGTGTCTTTCTATTCTTTAAGGTGCAGTTGCTTGTGTGGAGGCCATTGCAAATCCAGTGTCTCTAGCACGAAAGGTCATGGAAGACACTCCGCACTGTATTTTGGCCGGTGAAGGTGCTCTGAAGTTTGCCAAAAAAAGTGGATTTCCCGTTCTTGAAAACCCTCTGGAACTTGCCACAGCTGAATCCCATGAGCGCTCTAAAGAAGCAAGCTACTACTTAGGAAAAGCTGGAAAGTGGGTTAATGCTGATGCTCCAGATGTGAATGGAACCATCACTGGTCAGGGATTTGACACGGTTGGAGCTGTAGCTGTGGATTCAAAAGGAAGACTTGCAAGTGCTACTTCTACAGGTGAAAATCCTGCTGTCAACTCTTACAAATTCCTCGACCTCTACACTATGTAACATAGACTCCTCTCTCCTCCTAAAAGAGGCTGGTTTTGTTGCTGAGTCATATTTAGTGACTCTCTTCAGTCTTCTGATGGATCTGCTAAATCTTGAAGGGCATGTGTGTAGGCACCAAGATATTTTGTTTTGTTGA